TATGCAGTACAGCAGCAGAAAGCATGTTATGTTCAGCTGACAGCTGCGAAGTACATGATGAATGGGGCCAGCACTAAGGCAAATAAAAAGCAACCCAAAAAAATGGAAAACCTTTTCCTGTGAAGTGATGAAGACTCCAGGTCTGGCTCTTAAAACTTCAGCTTGTACCAGCAACCACATCAGCTGCAAACTGCTTACCAGGCCCCCCACCCTGGAAAACAAAACTCTTTTTTTTTCCTTTAACTTTTACGAGTAATGTACAGCTCTGCTTCATATTAGCCTTTCTAAACTTTACACGTGATGTAATTTAGGATTTAGGAACATAAAAACTGCAATTGAAGATCACAACTGTAGAAATGGCCCTCATTTCCTCAGGATGCAATCTGCAATGTTTTAAAGCAATCTCTGAAATAATTTTAAAGAAAGTGAAGTGTTCCTCACTGGCCACTTTCCACAGCAACACATCTATGAAAAAGCAAGACCCACCTACAGTACTAAAGGATAAAAAAACAGTATTTCGAACCTTATGGACCATATTTTGCTCTCAGGTAGATAGGTATAAACATTCATGCATTGTGGCCAACACCATTATTTTGCCCTGTTACAGCTACCACAACCGACTGTAAAGAACACTTTCAAAGAAATGTGAGAATTGTTTTGCCCACAGCAGTATGTGCTGAATGCCCTTTCATCAGGTTGCACAAGTGAGGCAGAGGATGGAGAATATTTGGCATAGGATCAAGACAAAAATAACTCGCATCCACTTTTTCAAAAGCTCTTGTGAAACCAACTGCCTTAATCCATGTTGAACAGGAAATGCAGTTCTGGTACGTCACACACTACAATAATAAGATGCAGCTTCTGTATTTAACCTGCCTACATGACTCAAGGCAATTGTTTCCACTGCAGTTTATATTGCCTATTATCAGCTGCAGTGGAAAGGAGGCAACATTCAATTCTTATTTTGTCCTTCTTAACTGTGAGTATTTCACTACAGACTGCCTTTTTCTTTGTAAAATTAATTGACTCCAGTTTTTGCTCTTTCTCCATTCTAATGCAGTCATGCCATTGCCTTGTGTTCCCTCAGCCTGTACCATCACCATTCCACACATACGTCCACTTCACTTTATAGTCCTCCAAAAAACAATTTGCAAGGTATCACTGCCTCTTCTGCCTTCAAAATTAGCAACAGAAGACAGCAGAGGAACAGATTCTAACCATCTAGCTGAAAACCTCTGAGGAAATCTATAGCAGACTTAAGAAAAGAACCAAGATTTTCCAAACTACAGTTTTAGACTGAAAGATACTCCTCCCTCTTCTAAATGCGATTACATTATTAGGAAATGCTCAAAAGGAGTAGAGAACAGGTACTTAGTTGCCCTTTTTGCCTTTAAAACTTCTTCCTTTCAACTAAACATTGTATATGTGGAAGAGCAAAAGTATATACACAGTCAAATGAATTCAGAATGACTCCCCAAATACAGCAGCTGTATTAAACTAAACAATCTATGTGCTAATAATGTCAAAATACTGCCTTACATATGCACCCCTTTTGACATCAGTGTCTAAACTGAACCCTGCAAAGCCAGCTCATTTAATACTTTACTTAAGATGTATTTGCCACTGCTAGATCTATTTTGGCAGCAAAATCTTGGCTGAGATACAACTCAGAAACACTGTACAATTCATTTGCTGCCATCCATCTCACAAAAGAAAGCAGAAGAACTTAGTGAGTCATGTTAACAGACGTAAGTACATAGAAATGAATGTTATTTCTTGTGGGAAACATTAACTTTGTGAGCCAGTTTCACATATTTCATCTACTTTCCTGTGAAAAGCACGATCTACTTTGGCAGAAATACAATGTGATTTATTTGGATTCCTAAGTAGTGATATTTACAGATTAATTAAAGTGCTCAGAGACATCTTTGATGTTTTGGAAAAAAGTCTCCCCTTCTGCTCAACAAATATACTCTTAATATTCCAATGGAATGTACTTTTAGAAATATTTTCAGTTAATTTAGTAGGTATGGTCTGTAGGCTTTCAGTAGCAAGAAAAGAAATACTGATACTCCTGAACAGGTTGATGTGATCACTGCTGCTCATTGAAGAGCTGGCCAATTCTGCCGTTGTTTGCAGCTACTAAAATACATTATATGAAAAATAAAGTTTTTCCTGTATGGACTGATCCTGGCTGGATGCCAGGTGCCCACCAAAGCTGCTCTATCACTCCCCTCCTCAACTGGACAGTGGAGAGAAATGAGAGACTCATGGGTTAAGGACCGTGAGATACCATTCACCTATTACCATAATGGACTAAACAGACTCAACTTAGGGAAATCAGTTTTATTTACTAGCAATCAAACCAGAGCAGGATAGTGAGAAATGAAGTGAAGCCTGAGAACACCTTCCCCTCACCCCTCCAGTCTTCCTGGGCTTAACTTTACTCCTGATTTTCCCTACCTCCTGCCCCACAGCAGCACATGGGATGGAAGATGCTGGTTGTGGTCAGTTCATCACAGGCTGTCTCTGCCGCTCCTTCCTCCCCACAGAGAGGACTTCTCACACTCTTCACCTGCTTCAGCATGTGATACCTCCCACAGCAGACAGTCCTCCCTGAAATTCTCCAGAGTGCTTCCCACAGGCTGCAGTTCTTCACATACTTCCCCAGCGTGGGCCCCTTCTATGGGGTGCAGCCCTTCAGGAACAGACTGCTCCACGGTGGGTACATTCCATGGGGTGCATCCTTCAGGAACAGACTGCTTCAGTGTGGGCCCTCCTTGGGGTCACCAGTCCTGCAGCAAACCTGCTCCAGCATGGGCTCCTCTCTCCATGGGGCCACAGGTCCTGCCAGGAACCTGCTCCAGTACAGGCTTCCCACAAGGCCACAGCCTCCTTCAGGCATCGCCCTGCTCTGGTGCTGGATCCACCTGCAGGCTGTGGAGGACATCTGCTCCACTGTGGAGCTCCATGGGTTGCAGAGGGACAGCCTCCCTCACCACAGTCTGCACCACAGGCTTCAGGGGAATCTCTACTCTGGCACCTGACGCACTTCCTCCTCTCCTTCTGAACTGAGCTTGGTGTCTGCAGAGCTGTTGCTCTCACATGTTATCACTCCTCTCTCCAGCTGCAGTTGTGCAGGTTTTTTCTCCCTTAAGTGTGTTCCCGCAGTGGTGCTATCACCACCACTAATGGGTTTGGCCTTGGCCAGCAGCAGATCCGTCTTGGAGCTGCTGGCTTTGGCTCTATCAGACACAAGGGAAGCTTCTAGCAGCTTCTCACAGAAAGACACCTCTGTAGCCCCCACTGCTACCTAACCCTTGACATCCAAATCCAATACAATTATTTTCTAGTGTTAATCTTTATGCAATCAACAGCTAAAGGGATGGAACTTAGTTACCTGCTCAGCATCAGAAAATGTTTGCCTATCTTTGCTTACCATTACAGCATGACCCTCCTGACTTTTCACTCAATCACAGTTAGAAGTTTGCCTCCAGTTAATTATCCAATTACTAAGAAAATTTTTAGCAATCCCTTCAAAAGGAAGTTCTGTACCAGGACTTGTAATCAAAACCTGTAACTAGAGAGAGGTGCAGTGATGAAATTCAGAGAGGGAAAACCTCACACTTTGAGGGTACTGAAGTTTACCAGCTGCTGTTCAAAAAGTAATATAAGGACATGGGATACACAGAAATAAAAGGATAAAAGAAGAAACGAAAAAGGCTGAGAAAATTTCACATCCCACTTAAAAATCATTCAACTTTGACTAGGAAGACCAAAACTGGATACGTTTAGTTCCCATCAAATACAAGAAATTACACTCATCTGTAGCTTGAAGAGCTTGAATGCAATAGCTACACTATTGTGTAACTAAATTTACTATTACAACAGGATTCATTAGACTGCTATGAGGAAAAACAGATGCAAGTTCCAAGAAAAACTAATTACAAGTCCTCTGTTTTTAATTACATTAACAAACTGATACTAATCTCCATAGAAATGCTTAATTAATTCCACAAGAAACAAAACAAATAAAAAGCCCACATTCATTTTAAAAGACTAGATGAGCCTACAGTTTTAATTTATGATATAGAAATCTCTCTTGATTGCAGTTGCCTCTTCAGATCAATCTCAAGTCATATTACTCAAACCATAAAATGGTAAGTAGGCTATAAAAACTTACACTTACATCTACTGGTCTAAATACACCAGTGCTCACACCACCACTGCCTTTGGCAGATTCCTTGACCAAGCAGCAAGTTATATGGAAAACAGCCTTGTCATTCCTCCAAGTTGAAATTAAGGTTTACAGTAAGAAGACCCTGGGAACAGGGCATATAGTGAATACAGATTTAATGCATCTTTTTCATGCAGTGAAGTCTGCTGTATAAGATACCTTCAAATCAATGACTCCAGCTCTCTTCCTAAAACACTGTATTTCTATTAACATTCCTGTTGTCAACGTAATAGCAAGTCCTTTAGTAAATGAAGATTCCCAAACCTTACAGAAATTTACAGCAATGACAATAAATATTGTCTCAATGACTTTTAATAGCTGAAGTTAAAGGCCTGCTTCTGCAGATCTTTATCCATGTGAATTATTTAATTAAAGGCAATCGGGCGCTGTATCAAGGACTGGCAATCTGTAGTACCACAGTATCAGGTGACCTTGATTAACCAATGTTTAAACATAACCCTTCAAAAAAAAAGTAAGAAATCACAGCTTGCCTTGGACAAATGTAGTAGGGTAAGATAGGGCAATTATCTTTATGCAGCTAAGAGTGGTAGACAAAAGTGAGAAAAAATCCAAAATTCTTAGACTATCCTTTAGTGATATGATTTTGGCACAGCATAGGAAAAGAAATGGATCTTTTCCAGACTGTACCTAACACAGTGCACTGTGTTAAGGAACAAGTTAAGGAACTGGACAACTTTATACCCACTTGTTCTTGTTTAGCGTTATCTGGGCATTTTATAATCTCATATATATGGTTACTTACCACACTTAAGCTGAAGCTCTCCTAAGCAGCCATAAGCATCCATGAGTTTTTCATAATGTCCTTTAATTGCATCCTTTTCTTCTGGAGCTGAGAAACAAAATGAAAGGCAGCAAATCTTAGTTTTCCAGTCTTCACAAAAGTTTCAGATTGCTACTGCCTACACTAATGTTTTCCAGTTGATTTCGCTCAGTAAATGCATTACAAAGGTAGGTTTGAAATGCAGTAGGAACACAGCAAGTAAAAAGTGATGGGACAGAAAGGCATAGGACCTCCACATACCACCCTAGAAGAAAGAAGGGTGCTCACTACCTTTCCAAACAACATGATTATTAGTAATGTTCTTATTCTATGGTACAGATGTCACATCAGTTTCAGAATACATAAAGGAATATACAAGCACATGTAAACTTTACACCAATCTAAAATAAGTACAAAAATAATAATTTATCTGGTCATAAGCTAAAATATAATGCATCTTCCCTTGACGTACAAAAAGAGATGCTTTCTGTTTCCAGATTCTAACAGTCTAATTTCAGATAGAGCTGCAATTTTTATGCAAGGAAAATAATGTGATGTAGGTACATCAGATGTTTTGATTGATATCCTACTGAAATCAGGTATGATTTCAATAGGAATTAAACATGTTTCAGTGAAGTAAGAGTTAGCATGGCCCAGACCTGTCACTAGCTACTTTAAAGTAAAACCAAAGTACTTCCTGAATGGGTAAGTCTGTGTTTTCTATATATTTCCCAACAAGGAGAGAGGTTAACCTCATGAAAGAGGAAAACAGCCTGTATCCTCAAATGTCCTTTTACTTTTGAACCACAGATAAATAGCAACATGGTACTTCAGAGTTTAGCTAATACTTTAAAATCTATGCTCCTAATAAGCTTCAGCAGTTTAAAAAAAAAAAAAAATCTGAATTCTCTGGCATTAACTGCCTGCAATAGATGACAGAATAGAACAGAAAAGAAAAACTTTTCTTTGTAAGCCTCAAGAGGCAAGTAGCTCAGTGAGAAGCATGAAAACAAACAAATATCCTGTATATTGCTGACATTTTGAAGTGAAAGGAAGGACAATTCCACTTGCAAAATTCCTCAGCAGAGGCAACCCCCCGAAGGAAATCAAAACACATTAGTCTCAGTTCTTGCACCCATGACAACTAAGGAAGACTTGTTAATTTTTTTCTTAATTTTATTTTTGCTATCAGACTTTCACAACTTATCTATTCTGCTTTCTTAGAAACACTGAGTGACTCAGGAAAAACTAGTAAAATGTTGATGCCCCACACACCAGAGAAACAAAACATAAGAAATAGAACAATTGTTACTCTGGACAGTAATGATCTAAATATACAGTAACAGCACCACTTAAGACTCTGGAAGCTCAATTCTCTGGCACTTAAAACTTCAGCAAAATCAGGTTTTTGGTGGCTTCTGCACATGACACTGGCATGTATGGAAGCCACCAGTTTCCCAGGTCAAGCCAGTGGCATCACATGCACATCAGCTCCAGGCACGGGACTTTTCCAAATGCACAGACAAATAGTTGTGTTTTGTCAGTACCGGTACAGAAATATGCCATAATTCTGGGCAAGTCATTTGACAGAACATTTGCCTGCACAATCGCATCAGGAGGCACAGGCTCCAAACACAAAGCTCCAGAAGAACTTTGGGCTGCGTTGCCACTCTTTTTGGCTGGCTAACAACTTGCCAGTAACTTCTACCATATGGAAGATTCTGTTATTTATGCTAGGGTTCATTTTCTCCCTGAAGCAATTTGGGTTCAGAAACCAAAAAAGTGACAGTGAACTTTTCTGTCTCACAGAAAGACTCAGCACACTTAAGACTTCACCCACAGATATTTTGAGAGGGAAGGAACATGCCTGTGGGTCACACACACAGAGAGGCCAGAATATTTTAGTGCATACAGACCACATCTATATGGCAAAAAAGAATATCCCTCTGTTATAGATACTGATGGAATTTGAAGTCCCCTGACCCATTACACTCCTTGGTGTTGCACAAACTCCCGAGATGCACCGTGACCACCGTCATTTGGCAAGGGCCAGGACAGGGGCCCCAGGCACCAGAGGTCAAGTAGCAGCTCCCACATGCTGCACCCCTCCATAAGGGCCCATTTGACCTGGGGCATGACTCCTCTGGGCTGCAGAGGCTCTAGCCACCATGGCTCTGTCTTGCTCCATGCCCTGTAGACATGCAGGTGAGGATACAGGCATCATCCCTCCAACACTGGGAGGTCTTTGCTGGATTCTGACAGACCCTAGCCAACTTTTTTTTTCTTTTTTGGAGGGGGTAAGGGAGAAGGAGGAGGAAACCAGTATAAAAAACAATACATAGAAAGGATGACTAGAGTGTGACTTTAAGAGGATATGATTTCAGAGGGCCTGAGCCAAGTTCACAGAATCACAAAATAGTTAGGGTTGGAAAGGACCTTAAGATCATCTAGTTCTAACCCCCCTGCCATGGGCGGGGGTGCCTCACACTAAACCATGTCACCCAAGGTTTTGTCCAAGAAATGTTTATAAAATCTTAAAAAATTCTTCATGAAATCTCAAAAAACTGCCATCAAAATCTGGTCGAAACATCTCCCAGAGTATTCACAAACAGTGCTAGGACACAAGAGAATGACTAGACAGAGAACAAAACTAATTGATGTGCTACTACCTTTGCTGGATAAAGAGAGTTCAAGGGATAAATTACTATAAAACTCTAAAGGCTTAGCATTTTTAGTTGGTAACATGAAAATTATTTCTGTGTTTCTCTGTCAAATGTTCCGAAGCCAGGGGTTTTATTCTGCAACGCCTTTCATAAAAACTCTGAAATACAGAGGCAAGGCAATGAGAGCGGTCTGCTTGAAAACTTAGGATGAGGACTGGATGTTTAACTATACCCTGCTCACATGTAAAATCCTTCCTTTTTCAAGCCAGACAGCTTGAGATCCACGCATACATACATATATAGTTAATGAACAATACTGCTACAGAAGCTGATGAAACTTGTGAAAAAGTTTTCCACTTAGAGAACAAGTCAAGTTTGCAAATGCATAGTGCATTTGTTTACTATTTACTAATAACTATAGGTAACTAAACAGCACACATAGTAATTACCAAACTCCATGAAAGCTTCCCATTAATATTCTTAGTAAACTTCCCTTCTATTAAGCATATAATTGAGAAGGCGCCTTTCTGCAATAATTACAACTGTGTTGTGTTCATAACAACTTTACCGAACTGCACTGTCTGCACTCCTCAAGTACCTAGTATCAATTATGTAAAAGCTCCTGATGTAAATTATATATAAGGCTGGCATGTTAGCTCAAAATTGTAACCCTTGCAAAACAAGAGGCACACAACAATTCAATGAAACTAAGCTTCAATAAACTCAACTAAAAGTGACATTTTTCCATGCATAAAATATTTTAGAGCCGATGAACACCACCGTGCATATATATACAACTTCACATGGCCTATCCAAGCGCAACTTCCTCCTTGTGAAAGCTGCAAATTCAATTTAATGGCTAGCAGGAAAAGCCAGACATACTCTCCAGCTGTACACAATTTCCTTTATTCAACCCTTCCTTAAGGCTGATGCCCCAGACTTCAGCAGGAACCAGCATGGTTCTCAAACACAGGGTACTCAGGAAAGTCAGTGACTGGAGTAAGAGGGCAGAAAGGTACCTTGGTTCCAGGTCCAACATTAAGGACAGACATAACAATACCTACAACTTACACATGAAACTGAAGAAAGAGCTCTTAAAGAAAAGAGTCTGGTACCAAATTACAGATTCCAGGTCTTCCCTCAGATTCTTAAGCCTGATTCCGGAAATAGACACCTGCTTAGCTGCAGGTAGTGATAAATATGTGTATTTCCATACTACACACATATTTGTCCACCTAAATACAAAACTAAAGCTAATTGTAAACATTGAATGTACCTACAGCACAGAAACTGTATTCTGTGTAAAAAAAAAAAAAAAAAAAGAAAGAAAGAAAAACATAACACAGGTAAATAATTACCACTTCCTGGTTTTGCATCCCTCCCCCTGCAAGGCTATACTCTGATTTCACTAAGCTGCATCAGAGAACCGCACACACACTCGCAACTGAAGCCGCACAGGAGGCACAGAGTTGCTCTGCTGAGTATACAAACACCTTAACTATATATAAGTTTGTCTCTAGTAAAGGTTTAATTCCCAGACCTGTGAGTGAAACCAACGGAAAAGCTTCTAAACGTTTTTCCAAAAACATGCATATTTCCAAAAACATGCACTTAGGATCCACCATAAGAGGTGCTCTAACATCCCGTAGTAAAAACAACTGCAGAACCAAAGTACTCAGAAAAAAAAAAAAATAAAATTATGTGTACCTTTAGCTCTGCCCTTGAAAAACATATTTTTATGCTGAATTTCAATAGCAGAGCATTCCTGTCAACATCATTTCACTAAGATTACTTTCTATAATAAAATAACTGTATTTCCTGCACTGTAGATTACATCAGTGACTACCTTGACAGCAGGTCAGAACTGGTTTCTTAGATTTCTTTTTTGTAACTCTGCCACTTGAACAAGGTTAAATTCAACATTTAAACTTCTTGTAGTACAGAAGTATTATAGAAGCACTTGAACTTTCAAAAAAAGGGTAGCTGTCATGCCTGTTCAAGGGCAGAAATACTTACTAATTATGGAAAAAGAATAATGAACAATGACTAAAATTTGTTCTTGGGCCTTCATCGTCCATCCATGATTATTTCTCTTGACAGTTCACTCAACATGAGACTCCTGTTGCAAAACCACATAAACTGTTTGACAACTTAAGCGCTCTAGGTTTATGTATCTGCTTCTATTTAGTGTGGAAGTAAGGCACGGTTGCAAAATTCCTCCTCACCACAGGTATGCAATTTTTAAAAAGACTTTATTTTAGACACGGAAAATTAGACAGAGAAGTCAAAATTAACACAATCCTAGGGCTAGTACATCTGAAACCACACATATACAAAGTTTATGTTAACCTCTACTGGAGCACTCGATGGTTAGTAACAACCTAAATGCCAGTCAAACAAAACAGAATTCCTGTTGTTTCTATTCCCACCCTGGCTGCAGAGTTTGCTCTTCACAATTACTGTAAATTTACCATCATAATTCCTATTGCTGGTTATCCCCTCCTTTTCTGGTCCTTTGCTGCAGTAACAGAAGAAATAAACAGGCTCAACTGGATAAACTAGCTTTTCCTACAATATAGCAAGCAATCCAGGCTGGAAAAGAGAAACCAAATTAAATTAAAGACAAAGTTATTAACATGGAGTGGCTGGATGCCAAAGCATACGTGATTATTACGGTTATCTCTAGTGGTGACACTGGACTTTCAAAAGGTAACACTGGACTTCAAAGGTCATGACAAACACGCTTTTATACTAGCCACCATACAGATCACTAGTTCAAAATTCTTCTAGTGTACATTTTAAGAAAAACTACATAAATTCTCTAATCTGATCTTTATCATGGCAGATCAAAATTTTTACACCATCAGAACTATCCTCATGAAAATCAACAGCCAACTCATGACCTTTTTGGCTTCCTTCAGTCAAAAATCCCCAACACTAAAATGTCTTGACATCATGTATCATAGAAGATTCAGCTCAGTGGACCTGGATACTGAGATGACATTGTGACTGACACTGTACAAACCATAACATACATAAACTGTGAGCTCTTTGCAGTAAGAACTTTTAAGTCTTCCCTTTCTTTTGCACTGCTTGAATACAGACTCCTACAACACCGATTAGTGGCATGATTACAGGCACAATTAAGTATTACCTGCAAAACAATTTAACAACCAGCACAAGCACATGTTCCCTGCACTACTTTTTGCACCTTATGTCAGTTACCTCATTTTGTTGTGTGTGCCTCAACAGCAGCATTACATTAACTCACGGTTGGCAAGTATCAGAACACAAGATGAGACAACCTTTGGCACATCTACAACTTCCACTGCCTCAGGTGGGACTCGAGCGCTTCTGATAAGGCCCAGACGCTCAGGTAACCATATACAGTGCAAACGACATGGGCAGACACAGTGCCACAGCAAGATGCCAGGTTTTCTTATGGGACATGAATCTCAAGCCAAAACAATCCCAGCTGTGAAATTAATGTCTATGCTGGTGTTTAGCACCTGATACAGCTGAACAGAAATTTCTTCAACAGGCACTGGGGCCCATCCCTTTAGCTGGACCCCTCTGCAGTATTCTTGTACGAATCTGCAATCAGTAAGACTCATACAAGGCTGCAGAGTACAAGTCTTGCACGCGAAAGACGTCCTGTGCCAAGACCCCACAGCCACCAGACAGGTGGGTGGCCTCTCCTGCTTCTTCCACCTGGCTGCTGCCGAGGATGCTAAAGGCATCCAGAACAGAGGAGAAGCCTGTCAGCCACCGATCAGGCCTGCGGATTGCAGAGGGAGGAGATGCTGGCCAACCCTCCATGTGTAGCACGAGGTGACAGGGTGTCACCCCAAAACGGCAGCGAGCGGGCAGGGCTGGAGTGCCATGCTGGAGGCCGGGCTTTACAGTGAGGCGAGTCCCCTACGGCCTGTGTCCCACTGGGCCCAGGTCTGCGCTCCCCCTTCCCTCTCTCCAAGCCTCCGGGGAGAAAATGTCCCAAGTCCCCGGGCACCGGCCGCTGCCAGTACCCCGGCACCCCTCCGCAGGCACCAGCCGCTTACCCACCGCCACCAGCCGACTACCCACGGCCTGGCCTCCCCGCCACGCACAGCGCGGGATGCGAAGCCCGGCCCGGGGCACTTACTGAGCGCCGCCACGGTGCCGGCCTCCAGCAACAGGCAGTCCTGGCGGGTGCGCGACTCCAGCAGAGCGCTCGGCCCCGGCTCCTGCTTCCAGAGCAGCCGTAGCCCTTTGCTCAGAGCCATGGGAGCCGCCGGTCGTAGTAAGAAAAGTGCAGGGGGTGCCAGTGGAGAAGAGATGCGACCCCTAACGCGGGTAGCGAAGAAGCCTCCCGTCTCCTCAAGCGCTCGGAGCACGGCGCTCGGGGGGCCGCCAACAGCCCCGCGCCCCCACGGGAGCTCCTCCGAGCGCGGTGTCCCCGGTTCCCGGCAGCCTGCTTCACCCGGCAGCGAGGACGCCCAGGGAGCCGGCCACCTCAGCAGGCTCCAAGTGCCTGCGCTCAAGCGGGGACGAGAGCGGGGAGTTCACGGCGGCCGTTTCTCCTCGTCTCCTGTGGCCCGGCCGCTGCTGTCTCCTTCCCGGGGAGCCCCCGGCTGCGGCCAGCGGGGCGGGCACGACCTTCTCTTCTGATCACCGGCTTTGTCCTCCCACTCACTCTACCCTGAAAACTTTCCGGAGTTAACTTTCTCCCTCTCGCTCCGCGGCTGCGGCTCCTCCTCCTCCTGGACAGGTACGAGCCGGGGCGCCGGCGGGGCGCCACCGCCTGCCCTGCCCTGCCCGCTGCGGGGGGGAGGGAGGGGAGGGGAGGGGAAGAGCGGCGGCTCGGCGGGGCGCTGTGGGGACTGGCCGACTCGGCCCGAAGCCGGCGCTCCACACCCTGTGTGGCCCGCGGCCGCTGAGGTGAAGCCCGCCGCCGAGCCCCCGAGACGCGGCGAGGGGGTTCAGAGACCAGTGAAACGCCTGGAGTCCCCGAAATGGCTTTCGCAGGCCGCGCGTCAGGGTGAGGCGGCTGCTGCCCGGGTTTATCCCGGGAGAGGCTGCGCTCCTCCCCGCTTCCTGTGGGGAGCGGCTGCCCGGGCGGGCGGCGGTTGAATGATTCCCGTGGCCGCGGCAGCGGAGTCGAACCATAACCCAGCACCGCCAAGTCCACCACTAACTCGTGTCCCTAAGCGCCACATCTCTGTGTCTTTTTAAGTACCTCCAGGCAGGGTGACTCAACCGCTTCCCTGGGCAGCCTGTTCCAGTGCTTTCCATCCTCATAGCCCAATTCCATTCATCCGCCCAGCAAAACTACGTTGTCTGTACATTAACCCAAAGATCGTTCTCTGACAACGGTGCTAGCACCAGCTGGAGCATTTGTCTTTGGAAATACCTCCACTGTGCTACCCGGCTCTCTTTGTTAGAACCAAGGAAGGTTGAGGAGCAAGAGGAACACTAGGCTTTATTCAGACTAGTCTTTAAATAAGGCTTAATTGCAGTATCTGTTAAAGATTTAAAATGAAAACTGGGAGGCTTCTTCAAACCGCACTGTTCATCCTATGACTAACTGAGCGAAATGTGTTCAGACCAGAGAAAACTTGCTGTATTTTTTTTAGCAAAAAGTACAGTCCTGTTTATACACAGGTAAATTAAGCACAATTCTAATTTGTTAATATTGTAGAATTATACTTTACAGTTATATGTAGAGAAAACTGCAAAATTCAAAAACCAAAATTACCATCTGTCATTACTCTCTGACATAAACATGGAGAACATCAGTCATGGCTGTGCTCTACCAGCTAGAATAGAAGTCAGAGAAGGACTTCGGGGTGCTGGGCAATGAGAAGATGAACATGAGCAGGCAGTGTGCACTTGCAGCCCAGAAAGCCAACCGTATCCTGGGCTGCATCAAAAGGAGGGTGACCAGCAGGTCAAAGGAGGTGATCCTGCCCCTTTACTCTGCTCTCGTGAGACCTCACCTGGAGTATTGTGTGCAGTTCTGGTGTCCTCAACATAAAGAGGACATGGAACTGTTGGAACAAGTCCAGAGAAGGGCCACAAGGATGATCAGGGGACTGGAGCACCTCCCATATGAAGACAGGCTGAGGAAGTTGGGGCTGTTCAGCCTGGAGAAGAGAAAGCTGCGTGGAGACCTCATAGCAGCCTTCCAGTATCTGAAGGGGGCCTATCGGGATCCTGGGGAGGGACTCTTAATTGGGGTCTGTAGTGATAGGACAAGGGGTAACGGGTTAAAACTTAAAGAGGGGAAGTTTAGATTGGATATAAGGAGGAAATTCTTTCCTGTTAGGGTGGTGAGGCACTGGAATAGGTTGCCCAGGGAGGCTGTGAATGCTCCATCCATGACAGTGTTCAAGACCAGGTTGGACGAAGCCTTGGGTGATACGGTTTAGTGTGAGGTGTCCCTGCCCATGGCAGGGGGGTTGGAACTTGATGATCTTAAGGTCCTTTCCAACCCTAACTATTCTATGATTCTAAATATAACAGTCCCTGCTCTCATTGAACTTCATGGAAACAAACTGAAAAGCAGGTACTGTCTTCCTGTCACACACCTCAGTTTTATTTATTTTATAACTAGTAGTAATTTGAAACTAGAAATTAATTTTAGTTATGTTTATGGTGTCTTCTTAAAACAGGTAGCATTCTGAAAAATGTAGTAGGAAAAGTAGGATTGGTGTTTGCACTGGGCTTTTTATTTTTCCTCTGATCCTATTCATTAATACAGCATATAGGGTGAGATAAAGAATGCTGGGTAATGTAAAAGAAATTACTCAGAAGCAGTAGAAATTAACTGACCAGGATGAAAAAAAGCGAGGGAGCTCACAGCTCAAAGTTTGGGGGTTTTAGAGGGTATAAGAAAGAGTGTGCATTAACCATTCTTGATTTTAAACAGAAGGGATGCCTTTCTTACAGCTATCCTATGGGAATGGTAGACCAAGAATCCATTTATATCTATCTTTGTCACCTTTCATCATGACCTCTTTCCTTAGAGAAAAGTGCTTATGTGAGATGAAACTCCAAAAGTATCACTTAAACAATCTGAGCTGCTTAACACAGTTGTATCACATATGATTTTAAAAAGCTGTCCTGCATCATGCACTCATGTATCTTAAAATGATAATAATAAAACCCACCACTTTCTTGTGTGTTCTTGCCTTTGAGGCATGATTCCTTATAGTCCTCTTTGAAATCCATCAGAAAATTATCACTTGGAGGACACTGGTTTGTCACTCCCTGTTGCCCATGCTTTAGTAGGCTTTTTCCATGAGTGCTTTTCACTGCAAATTCCAAAACCACACAATTTAGGATTGTTAATAAAAAACTGACTGTCAGATTTGTTGGGCAAAATACTAGAGAAAGCACCGGTGCACCTGGGATAGTATTTTTTCAGTACCTCAAATCAATGTGAGAAGTTCAAGGTGGAAAACTGGAAACCTTTTAGGAGTGTGTTTTCAGAGGTCTCTGGCTGCAAAACATCCACAGTGCAGGAAGATACATTTTTAAAGGTGTGATGTTGTGATTATTGAAAAAGCAGTAAGTCAGTTAATTAGACTTTTTGTCACAGGTCTGTTACCTTAGAAACACAAGACTGAGAAAGCAACTATCTGAAAATGGTGAAGATGAATGGTGAATAAAGCCATATGCTTTACAAACCTTCCCCGCACAGAATGACATCCAGAGTGAGAGCACAGATAGGAACTTTTCTCCATATATAAGGAGGACATGCAGAGATTTCCCTTACCTCATTTTATGGCACTCAAGATCCTTTCATCTGACCAAACTGACTATGATTTAATGCATTAAAGTCTATTTGTAAGGAAAAATGTTGAGATTGATAGATCATCTTCTAGTTGACATTTGGAGCTGAGCTGTCTTGCTCTGGAGCATTTGTATGTGAGCATCATGGAAACTGATTAGGTCCCACAGTCATTTGGAGAGTCCCCCAGGTGAATTCACTCCCTTCTACAGCGTCTGTATTCACCCAGGCCATACACCCTCATAAACTCCTCTGCATTTTTTCATTCCATCCTCCTTTCTCAGTGGATTTTTCCTTTAATCTTCTGCCTTGATAGTTTCATCATATTAGTTCATTTGCCTCTCTTCAGACTCCCATCTTTAGTTCTTCATCACTCTTTCTACCTCTGAGCAGTCACAGATATTTTGCATTGCTTTTTGAATGTTCCCATGGCTAAATAGTGGGAGGTGATCTGCTATCTTCAGCTGAGAAAAGCAATAGGTCTGTGGGCTATCTCTATTACTCTGTAATAGTGGGAGTATTTTGGAGAGTGGAATGTCTTGTCAGCAGTAGTGCTCCTTTGCTTTCCATTTTTTCTCCTTCCAACTACTTTTCCAGCTCCTGTCTTTATAGGAGGGGGTAGTGGTGGTGATGAGATCTTTCTCTCTTCCTGTCAGAAGGGGAGGAATCCTTATTATGCCATGTTTGCTGACTGCAGAACTATGTGAAACACGTTCAAACAAAATTGCAGCACTGATATGTCTGAGGGCCAGCCTTCACAGTAGGAGGATATAGCCTTCAGCTGCTAAATAAAGTTTAGTTCCTGTTAACTCACCTGTGGCATGAACTGTGTTGATGTCCACACTATTTTTATATATATGCCACCATCAGAAATTCAGCTCTTACCTCGGCTGTAGAAATCACCTCCATGTACTTTCTGAACAATCCTATCTTCTTCCAAGTCATTATTCAGTTAGGTCCACATTTCCTATCCCTTCCCCTCCCCAGCCTTTTTTTTTACCTCTTAAAGCATGCTATGCAGTGTAATGGGGTAGTGGGTAGTTTAGAGGGTCCGGATAACTGCCTTAGTGAAGAAGAGTCCTGCATGCTGATTTTAGCAGGTGGCATTGTATGTTTGCCTGGAGACGGTTAGAAGTGTAACAACAGGGGTGTTACAAAGCAGAGTTTAGCAGAACTGGGAAGAGTAGGGTGTATTTGGCTTAGATGGCTACCTGTCTCGGAGATCTGTGTGAACCCCATATCCTTGACTTGAGGGTATAGAATGGGTGAATGTCCCTGTAGTATTACTTGTCTGTCTTTCTGTGCTATTGAGTGATCTCTACAGTCTGGGGCTCTTGTACAAAAAGCTTTGGTGATACACAACAGAAACAAACAAAACATACCTGCCTGTGTCCACTATTATGCTATTGCAAACAGTGGTAATCTTAAACTCTGAGATTAAACATAGAAGATTACTTATGATGGCATTTCCTGGGGATTTCTGGCCATGTGCACATGGCCTCAGTGGTCACAAATTCCTCAGGAAATGTGTGTGCCCACAAGGTCACTGAAAACAGTTTGTTTTTTGCCTTTATGAGAAACTTGTGACTTCAGTAAGTAAAGGAGAAATAGGGGAAATATCTCAGCACAGCTTTTCCTGGACATAACATTCAAAACAACTAGTCACTGCTGCT